AACTGCCGGGTTTGCGTGGCCACCAGTGCTGTAGCCTTGTCTTTTTTTTACTTTCTCATGGGTGGTGCCACCGTCATTCATTCCTGTGCTCTCCGCCGCTTTTCTCTTGTAGTTTGATTGCACCTAAGATATATCTTTAAGTGAAACATGGCCACCACCCTTGAGGAGTTTTCCGCCAAGCTCGACCGGCTGGACGCCGAGTTTGCAAAGAAGATGGAGGAACAGAACAAGAAGTTCTTTGCGGACAAGCCGGACGAAAGCACTTTATCCCCTGAGATGAAGGAGCACTATGAGAAGTTCGAGAGGATGATTCAGGAGCACACTGACAAGTTCAACAAGAAGATGCACGAGCACTCTGAGCACTTTAAGGCGAAGTTTGCTGAGCTGCTCGAGCAACAGAAGAACGCTCAGTTCCCAGGCATTTGAGTTGAAGCCAATTATTATTGTTTGCGAAGGCTCCGTCGCACTGACGGAGTGACGGTTGTCTTGGTGGTTTTGTTGTATTTTTTTTCGTTTTTTTTTTTCTTTTTTTTAGTTTGCTGGTTTTTGAGTTGGAGGGAGGTGTTGTTGTGCGTAATGGATGGTTTTGGTGCCTACGCGGCGAGTTCAATATAGGTGTGTTTTCAAACGTTGATGGAATGGATCTATGATGCATGTCTTGTCCTCTCTTTTCTGCGTTGACCGTTATCTTGTATAGGGCAGGTGGGTGATTGCTTGTTTTGTCTCTGTGCGTGAGTTTGGCTGAAGCTGAGCCGTGGGGAGGGGTGGGGCGGAGAAGTGCGCGTCCGTCGAGTTAGGTTGATGTTAAGGTCGACGCGCCTTTGGCGCTTTTGGATGAAGGGCGGCGACATGTTTGTGGAGTATAAAATTATGTCGCGGGATCATCGGCGCTCGCTTCGCGTGAAAGGCGCCCTTGTAGACCCCAACGTTGCCCGTACCGTTGTTCCATTAAGCTGGCTTGAGCAGCTGCGCAGCCCATCCTTGCGGCTGCCGACAGGATATCACATGGAGGAGGCGGTTTACGTGCCTCCGGCGTATGCTGCGGTGAACGAGAAGGCAGGTGACCGGTCGCCGGAGCGAGGCACAGCGACGGCGTCAAATGCAATTTTGGCAGGACCCGTTGTTCTGTACATTACGGGACAGAACCTCCCGGTGGTGGTAAATCCGTACTTTGTTCCAGATGAGACGTGGGGCGTTAGACTGAGCGGCGACGAGTGGGACTTGCGACTAGGCATGGACGCCATCGAGCAGTGCACCTTGTTTAGCGAGCTTCGCCCGGGTGGATTGCTTTGCAACAAACTCCCTAGTAGCCAGAACGTAACGCGTCACGAGCCCGTGCGTGCAACCCTGCAGCGCTATGGCATGAAGTGCGGGCTTGCTGAGTCGCCACTAGTTCCTCGGCCGTGGACGCGGATGCGGTACATGTTTATCGATGAGCTGCAGCGCGGTCCAAAGATGACGGAGTTTGTCGGACACAACCCGCGCAATGGCACCCCGTGGCGCTTCTCACAACATACGAAGCATTTCCGCCTTGGTATCTGGCGGGAAACGATACGTCGCAACGACATGAATGAAGGCCTCCACGGTCACAGCAGCTGGCAGAAGTCACCACAGCAGGCGGTGCCTGAGGTTTGCCTCATGGCGCCCTACCCATAGGAAGAATGGGGAGAGAGGAACAGAAGAGGAAAATAACAGCAACGCCAATAAGAAAGGAGAGGGAAAACACCGACACATGCAGAGAAGGATTACAAAAGTTGCAGTTTTTTTGACTTTTTTAGCACACTTCTTTACGACGAAGGGAGTCCGATTGGTAGGAGGCGGAAATACGGAGGCATTTTTTTTTTTTTGTTCTGAGCCTCATTCCAGTGTTGTTATTTTTTATTTTATTTTTTGCTTGTGTTAGCTGAGTGGTTTGGAAGAAAGCGGGTGTGATTGACGTCAGTACGGAACTCCACACACCGAGAGAGGAGGGACGTGGTATAGAAAGGTCCCACATGTGTATTTATATATATAAATAAATATACAATTACTTTGTTTGGATTGGTGCATTATTTCTTCAATTAGTGGCTTCTGACCCATATGGACAGTGGAGGAGGCGCGTTCTCGCCTGCGCAGGTAAGCTTTATGACCCCCCATCCTCGGAACATAAAAGTCCCTGCAGGGCGAATGGTACTGCAAGACGGCATCGTTAGACCTTTGCTGGGGCGTGGGCTATTGTGTCTGCTACGGGACACGCTGATGGATGAGTTGATACTCACGTGGGTCTCTGTTGACGGAAACGAGGAGCAGCGGTTTCCGCTGCCGCGGGGCAGAGTGCGGCTTAGCTGGGTAGAAAAGTGCACCTCCGGAAGGGTGATGCTGTTTGACGTAGATGACGGCAGGCAGCTTTTTTTCTTCTGGATGCAGTCCCGCTCAACGGAGCTTGCCGACAAGACGATGAGGCGGCTACAGCACGTTCTGGAGCGGCACCGACACCACCTCCTCATCGCCCCAAAGTCGGACACAATTAAAATGTCAACCTTCCGCAGGGTGCTGGGGGAGGTGTGGGAGGAGGCGGTTGCACAGGACGTGGACCTCGACGCTCTGCTGTCCTCTCCCAAGCTGATAGAGGCGCTGCAGGAGGACCCGGAGTTCTACAGGTCGAGGCTGATGAAGCACCTCTCGCCATCAATTGCGACGGCGGCGGACACGCCTCTGGACCTGGTTAGCCTTGTACAGGATTCTCAGGTGCAGTGGGCGTCTGTCATTCTCAGCACCATGCTTCGCCGCAAGGATACAAGTAATTATCTTTTTACTCTCTTCTTAGACGCTGCGTCCCCATGGAGCCTGAGCGTCGTGGCTTTTATCATGCAAATCATCCAGATGTATCCAGGGAGGTGAACCTTTGGGAAATAATTCTTCAGCAGAAAAATGTGGGCAAGCGAGGCACACACACAAAGAAACAGAAACAATGTAAAAAGCAAAGCAAAAAAAAAAGAAATCAGCAAATCCTGCTCGAAACAGAGAGACACCAATGGACTCTTGTGAAGCTACCTTTGGCATTGTCTTTATCTTTCTCACACACACATACCCACGCTTGCACGTATCTACACTCGCTCTGTGTAAACGTATAGATTTATATATATATATATATATATAACCATGCATGTGTCTTACTGTGCCCACTCGCTTTTTTTTGTAATTGAGGAAACTTTGTTAGTTCACATGATCGACGAGGTCTGGGAAGTCACTTCCAGTGAAACACAACGCATAGCAGGTGTTCTCACCTTCCTTCGACGGAACACATGTCCTTACATTGGCCGTCCTGTTTTGCGCAGGTACAGGGAGGGGAATGAAATGGAGGGTGCCAAGGAAAAAAAATCTGCATCACCGCTTCGTATTCTCCTCTCATACTCATTTTCCCAGCACACTGTCACACTGCACCAATTTTTGCAGATGACGGATAGTCTTCACCGCGAGGTAAAGCTATCTTTGGCACACCAACTTGTTCAGGCTATTGCCTTTCTTCATACCTGTGGGGTGAGTCATCAGTTTCTTTCCTCTGATGTGGTGGCGGTGGAGCTGAAACCAGAGCCGACAGTGCGGATAATCCACTTTTGCGGCGGTACAACTTCATCTGACTGTGGTGGATCGTATATCTGCGTGCGGAACTATCGACCACCAGAGGTGCTTCTTCAGCTTAGCGGCCTTAGGCCCAAGGCGATAGACTGTTGGGCGTTGGGTTGTCTGCTGTTTGAGATATACACTGGCTCCGCTGCCTTCTCTCTAGAGGCGTCGGACGGCAACTTTCGTCCTGGACTTGTCAGAGAACAATTAACAGAGACAGTAAGGGTTATTGGTAAGCTGGGGGAGGACAACATACCGCCTGGGTGCTCAGATCGCGTATCCGAGTTTCTTCTGGGCCTCGATTATGATGCATCTTTCCCGGCTCGCATGCGGTTGGCTGCTCCGGAAGAGGAAACGGAGGTGTGGATCTCGCTGGTGAGAGCACTGCTGCGCTTTAACTTTCACCTACGCCCATCTGTGGAGGAGCTGCTTCGACACGAGCTCTTTGCAGACCTACCACCTCCTTTCAACTGGCCGGTACCTGACGAGGAATCCCTGCCATTGCATACCCTACTGGAGTGAAATAATGCCTTTTTTTAGTGTCGGGTGTATTATCATGGGACTCGTCACGATGATGCTCGTATCGGGGTTTTCTATTCGGTATGTTTTTTAAAATCTTTGTTTTCACCCAATCTGCAGGAATTGCGTTAGCTTCTTTGCCTTGCTCCCTCATCTACTTCGCTGTGTTTGAGGACTCCTTGGGTAGCAACCGTAGAAATACAAGGCTGAGAAGGAGAAACAATGGGTCAGTGGCTAGCGTCCGCATTCAAGTCGCTCCTGGGGAAGCAGGAGGTGCGCATCTTGATGGTGGGTCTTGATGCTGCTGGTAAGACGACAATTCTATACAAGCTTAAGCTCGGCGAGATCGTCACCACGATCCCCACGATTGGGTTTAACGTGGAGACGGTGGAGTACAAGAACCTTAAGTTCACCATGTGGGATGTCGGCGGCCAGGATGTCCTGCGCCCGCTGTGGCGCCACTACTACCAAAATACAAACGGCATCATCTTTGTTGTGGACTCCAACGACAGAGAGCGGATTGGCAAGGCGCGACAGGAGCTGGAGAAGATGCTTACAGAGGACGAGCTTCGCAATTCTATTCTCCTTGTATTTGCCAACAAGCAGGAC